CTATGACAGGAGAGGAGAGGAGAGGAGAGGAGAGGAGAGGAGAGGAGAGGAGAGGAGAGGTGGGATGGGAATGGGATGGGAAAAAGGAGTGAGAATTACGAGAAGAGGAAAAGGTGATGGGAGAGGAGAGAAGAAAAGAAGAGGGAGAAGCCAAGTAGAGAGGAGGGAGAGGAGGGGAGCATGAGGTTTAGCATGAGGTGCTTCACCTGCTCCAGGCTCGCTCTCGTGACCGCCTGCTGCTTCAGATTCTGATCCAAGTGACGTTCTACCGCCTGCTGGACCTCATGGAGATGGGTCGAGACCTAAGAGGAAGTAAGGGGAGAGGAAGAAAGAGGATGGAGGAGGAGGAGGAGGAGGAGGAGGAAGGAGGAAGAGGGAGGAGGGAGAAGGAGGAGGGGAAGAGCAGGGAGGGAGATCGAGCAGGCAGGTCGACCTCTTCCAGCTCTCGAAGCTTCTCAGCCATCCTGCCACTCGTCTGCTCCACTTCCTCCTGCTTCCCACCGTCAGCCCCGGCGTCTCCCAGCTGAGAGACTTCACCTCAAGCTGGCCCTCCCTGCCCCTCCCCTTCAGCTTCTCCAGCATCGTCGTCATCATCATTCTTGTCTTGTCCAGCTGCACACACTCACAAACTGCCCTCGCACACAGTCAACGTTACCTGCTCCTCCACTCTTCCCACCAGGCCTTCAGCTGGGCCGATCGCTGCCTCCACCTGCCCGCAGCTGCCACACCCGCTGATCGTTACCCTCAGCGAGGTACTACACACGCGATCCGCCGGCCATTCTGCCAGATCCCGAACAAGGAGCGAAGCACGGGAGGAGGAGGAAGAAGAAGAAGCATCCTCTTCCTGCACAGCTGCAGGCGCTGTTCGTCTCCTGCACTGCCATGCAAGGACGTGTCTCTCAAGGGCCTTGGCGGAGGACTTGACCACCTTGGAGCGGAGGTCCTCAAGAAGGGAGAGGAGGGAGTCGGTCAAGAAGATCCTCGTCGGCCCGATGCAATAGAGGGAGGAGGAGCAGGAGCAGTGCGTGAGGACGGTCTGGACCTGCTCGCTCAAGGACAGGCGTCCCAGCAGGTAGCAGTCACGGAGGGGATGGGAGGGGGGGACGACGCCATGGCCGAAGAGGAGGGGATGGTAGCGATGGACGAAGAGCTCGTGTGAGAAGCTCCTGTCCAGTCCCTCCCTCCCGAGCAGACTTGCCTCCACCACGCGATGCTTCCTGCGATCGCAGTGAGGAACGACAGAGCTCGGGTACCAGAGGTCCGGCGGTAGAGGAAGAGACTTGGGGTATGGAGTAGATGAGGTCGTGGAGGGGCAGGAGGAGGGAGGAGGGAAGAGGAACGAGGGGTAAAGAGGACTACCTCAACTGCAGCTCACAGAAGCTCGCGTCGAAGTATCTGCTGTTCCTCTCCTGGCACGTTTGGAGGCAGAGAAACCTCCGCGTGCTTTGCAGCTCATGCGAGTTCAGCTCCTCCTCAACCTCCATCAGCTCCTTCCTCATCGCAGCAACCAAGTCTGCCTGCGGGGCCGCGCAGGGACCCCTGGGGAGGAGGAAGGAGCCTCCTGCTCTCCTCTGCGCCGCTGCCCTCAGCCATTGGGCATAGCGGGCGAGGAGGACGTAGAAGAAGTCTTCGCGCAGCAGCTGCTGCATGCTGTACTCCTGCCGCTGCTCTACATGCTCCACAGCCAGGAGCTGCTGCTGGCCCCCGATGAAGGCAGCACAGGCGGAGGAGGAAGAGATGTCCATTTCCCCTGCCCACTGCCGCATCTGATCCATCAAGGACAGATGGGGGAGGAGGCTGAGGCGGGAGGAGGGGAGTGCGGCCCTTGTCAACTTGCTCATCCTCTCGAGGAGACTTCCTTCCTCCAGGAGACGCAGGGGATGCTTCCCTCCTCGTGCTCGACACACAGTGCGAGACCTGGACCAGGAACGATGAGTAAGGGGGAGGGAGGGAGGGAGGGAGGGAGGGAGGGGAAGATGGGAAGGAGGGAGGGAGTAAGAGTATGGTAAGCCGCTTACGTGATCTGCTCTCTCTTGCATTGATCCTGAAAAGGAAATGTTCACCATCTCCGATGAAGCGTGGAGGAGGGAAAGGAAAGGAGGAGAAAGAGAAAAGGAAGGAAGAATCTGAGATTGCGCGTCCTAGGAAAGGAGCAGGAGCAGGAGCGGGGGGGGGGGGCTCTACCTCCCATGCAGACAGGCAGGACTGCAGTCGATGATGCAAAAGGTCGTCCATCAGCCTGGCAGCGAGTTGCTGGAAACTCGTCGAGCCCGCAGGCCGTCGGTCGTCGGCAGCAGGAGCGTCACACTCTGAGACATCTTTCGTGCAGATGATGGTGACGGTCCTCAGTCCAGCTCCAGCTCCAGCTCCTCCTGCTCCTGCTCCTGCTCCTGCTCCTCCTGTTTCGCCAGGATTCTCTGAGAGCTTTGCTGACCCCAGGGCCACTTGAGCGGCTAGGAGGACTTTCTCGATGATCATCATGTACAAACAAGACCCGAAGGCCTCGGCGTTCATCATGAAGTTGCCCAGGAGCGCATCTATGAGGACAAGAAGCTGAGGGGTCTAGCAGTCGTGTCGTCCTCCTCTTACCTGACATCTCCTCGCGCGATTCCTCTCCAGCATCGGATGCTTCCTCCCCCGTGGAGAAGAGCAGGTTTTCCACCTTCCTCCAGGCTCGAGCAAGCTTCTGCGGCATTTTATCACCTCGTCGTCTCCTCTTCACGTTCCCTCAATTTCCTCTGCTCGCTCCCCGTCTCTAGAAGAACCCACAAGACTACATTTTCCCGTCCTCGTCTCTCCCTCCTCCTGACTCTCTTCGCCTGCTCCCTCTCGCTTCATTCCACCTGTTCCCTCCTCTCGGCTCCCCTGCCCTGCCTTCCTCTCCCCTCTTCTCCCCTTCTCTTCACCTCAGTGGAGCTCCGGCAACTCTCAGTCTCCTTCATTGCCGAGACGGCAGACGACCACACCATCAACGCGGCAGCATGACGGACGACGCTCTCGACCTCGCTCTCCGACATCCCCAGCAACTCCAACGAACTGACCGTCTCCTTCCAATCCTCAAGAGTCTCCTCGTTTCTGCCCACCTGGCTAGCGTTGGGGCATACATCCGAGATGCTACAGATATCCGCAACGAGCTTCTCCTGCTCCAGGCATGCCTGCAGAACCTGCTCCGTCAACCTGCAGCATCCTTCATGGCCAGGGGCGATCAATGGTCTCCTCATGTCGACGAGCCGAGGCTTCACTGCTGCTGCAGAGAGCTCCAGCCCCGATGCCGCATGCTCGTAGCCCAGCACGCTGAGGACAAGGTTATGAAGCAGCAAGACAGCATGGGCAGCGTTCTAGCTCACAGGGAGAGGAAGCATCCATCGCTGTCGCATGAGGTGGAGTTGGATGTCGTCAAGCTTTCCAGCAAGTGCATCGCTGCCTTGACCTTCTTCTTGCATCACAAGGCGGCAGAGCACAGACAGCACGTACCTTGTCGATCAGCGAACCTCCAGCAGCCGTACATGCTTGCTTGCCCTCAGCAAGAAGACCACTCAGGATCAATCTCAGCATCGCCGCCCGCTCCTCCCTCCTCCCTCCCTCTATGATGCACAGCTGAGGATCTCGACGGACTCTCATCATGGAGAAGACGCTCTGAGCGTAGGCCGACGCCTGGACCCCAGCACAGCATGTTGACGGCTCCATGTCGCTCCTGCTGTTCCTGCTGTGGACCTCGAGCCCACCAGACAAAAGCAGGAATGGCCCAGCACGAGTGTCGTACTTTCCCACAGAAGTTCTCAACCTCAAGGCATGGAGCGCATTGGGAAGGTCGATATGCTTCAGAGATGTGAGACTGTCCGGCGCGTCTAGCCCGGGCTGGTTTTTGCGGTGAATGTCTCTTGCTGACATGGTCAACTCTGACCCGTCGCTGAGTTTCACCCTCAACCTTCCGCCATCCAACTGGCTGATAACCTGTGCCTCGACCCAACTTTGCCCGCCCGTGGGTCTCACCCATATTGAGTTGCTCATGTGAAGACGAAGAGAAACGACGGACTCAGCCTTGGGCTGGAAAGACTGAGAGACAAGAGAAATCTTGCACCATCTGCCAAAATACTTGTCATTTCATAGAATGCAAAAAATCAGGCAAGATGTCGTTTTCACGCAAGCATGCTTCCGTTTGTATAAAGGACATCGATGCCTGCTTTCCTCTCTGAGAAGGCCTTCTCATATTAGGGCATATTCGAATATGCACGAATTTTCACATTCTCTTCTCTCGCACACCTGACCCTTCCTCATCCTCATCCTCCTCCTCCTCCTCCTCCTCCTCCTCCTCCTCCTCCTCCTCCTCCTCCTCCTCCTCCTCCTCCTCCTCCTCTACATCTGTCGTCCATGATCACACGCCCAGCCAGCACACCATTTCAAATTTCTGCTTTTTTAAAAATAGAGGAGATCCCCCCCGGTTGAAAGGGCCGGTCAATTTATTATTAGCCTGTTTTCAAGACGGTTCAGCCCGGCCCGCCGCCGGGCCGCCTGGGCCCGGGCCGGGCCGGGCGACACTGGCACGGTACGGTAGCCGTCCGATCACTGTTTACTCAACTTGATGGGCCAGTGTCACGGCGTCCCGGGCCGCCTGCGGCGCCGGAGTCCGCCGCAGGCGGCGGCCCGGGGCCGTGGCAGAACTTCGAACTCGGAACTTCGGGCCGGGCTGAGTGCCACTTCGACTTGAACCGCTCCGGGGGCCGGGGCCCGGGGGCCGGGGCCGGCCGGGGCCGCCGGCCGCCGGCCGCCGGCGGCCCGGGGCGCGGCCAGGCTCCCGGAGCGGCTACCGTGGCAGGCCAGGCTCCTTCCGCCGATGATGATGGCACTGCCGGGGCCGGCCCGAGCGCACTGGCAGGCTGAGCTCGCGCCGCGGCCGCCGCCGGGCGCACCGGCGGGCCGGGCGACTCAGCCCGGCGGCGGGCCAGCGGCAGGCCAGTGAGCCTGCCTCTGGCGAGTCTGAGTGCCATGATCGGACGCCGTCACGCGGCTCGCGCCTGACACGGACACAGTGTGTCCGATCATCGGACCGGCGCTCCGAGGGAGCTGCAGTGCGGACTTGGAGTCCGGCGGCCGGCGCCGGCTGGGTCGGCGGCCGGCGGGACCCTCGCGGCAGTGAGCCTTCAAGAGTCCCGGCTCAGTTCGGAGTCCGTGCTCAGCACCGGGCCGCGCCCGACTCGTTGGTCCCGGACTATTTGCAGCACCGTGCCCGCCGCGGCCGGCCCGGGCGGGCCCCGGTGTGATCAGTGACCGTCCGACTTGCCGTGACCGCCGCCGCCGCAGTGTGACTTTTTGCTGACAGTCCGCGCCCGGCCGGGGCTGAGTCCGTGCCACCGACTCGTACTAACTTAAGTTAGTTACGGCCCGGCCCTCGGGACCGATGCCGCCGCGCCTGGCAAACTTTGACTTAAATTATATGCCGTGACGGTGCCCGGCGGTCTCAGAGTCTGGCTTCTTGTAAGGCGGTGTGTTTTGTAGGATGTGTCGGTTCGCACCGGTGGGTGGTAATTATAGGCTGTCAGCCAAAGCGTCTCCTTCGAGTGATGACGGGAGGAACAGAACTGATTTTTCAAACTTAACAATAATAGATATAGCAGGTTTACAGGTCGGAAAGGCATTCGGCGGATGGCAGCATGGGATTCGGGGGTGGTCAGGTAAGAAATCTAGGGGGTGGGGTCCAAGGGGATATCTCAAACGGATATTTGGCCCCTGTTCTTTCGTTGATCATGGATGCCACCAATGAAATCAGACCCATCTTTACTCAAATGAATTCACATAAGAAGAGCGAGTCCCCCTCAATTGAGGTGATAACAATGTTCGAAAGGCAGACAGCAATCCCCAGGGGATTCTTTACTACACAAAGCACCAAAGATACGATACAAGAACTTTTCGAATCTCATTACCAGAACCATATCTCAAGATTCAATGTCGCCCGGGAGGGAGGTCGAAGGGGTGCCTTGTCATCTTTCGGACCAGCAGTAGGTATGGGTGCTCGGAAATAAGGGGTTATGGTCCTGATCATTGCACTCAATTACCCTACTAAAATCCATGTTACGAACGTCTTAAATACGGGTGGGTAGTAAAATATACTGAATATCGGTGGGGTATAGAGGAGAATTTGGGGGTAGGGGGTGGGAGGCAAGTGCAAGAACGTGGGAACAAGAGAATTGTTTGCATTGCCGCCGAAAGCTCTGAGCGATGCACGCAAGCGAGGTTGGAGATGAGAACAAACCGAGTACAGTCATGAATCATGGAAGTTGCGTGCATGAGGATGATCAGGAGAAGGTGAGTTTCCTCCAGTCGCCAGTGTGTTGTGTGCGCTCCCCTTGGCCGATGGATCATGTCGTGATGACACGACTGCTTCGACATGGTTTCTTGTCTGCATGTATTAAAAGCATAAACTTCAAAGGAACTGATGTTTCTGTTTTTTTTACAGAGTACAAGGCATAATTCCGAAGATTCGGCTAGCATCTGTGTTGAAGAAAGGATAAGCACCATCAAAAGCTTCTGCGTATTCCGTGCCAGGGAAATTTGGCCATCCTGCCTACAAGAAGTGGCCTCGACGATGCAGGAAATGGTTTTGGAAGAAGGAACAACGGTGACAAAAAGAGGACAACCTGGGCAGGACATGTACTGGATAATGTCAGGGAGCTGCGCTTGTGTCCTGGATGACGAAGAAATCGACCACCTGACAATTGGGCGATGCTTCGGTGAGGTGACTGTCGTTGAACTGTGCAAGCGCTTGCTGAGCGGAGAGTCGTTCGATATGGCATCGAAGGAGTGTCTCAGAATGGCAGATATTCGCACTCTGGAGCGATGCCATCTTTTGAAACTGTCGTACCTGGATATGCTCCCGTTGATACGGAGAATCCCCAACCTGTGGAGCTCTCTGGACGAGATGTCGCGCATCAACATCGGCAAGGTTGAGTTGAAGAGGCAGAAAGACCGCTATCAAAAATCCCTCGAGCTCATGGACGTGGAGGAAAGAGTGGATGCTCTCATGGCCTCGCCTTGCGTCGTTTCCCGCAACGTTGATCCCTCCTGCTTGAAAACCATCGCGAAGAAGTTGCAAGTGTGTGCGATTCCAGAGGGAGACCTGGTAATCTCCCAGGGCAAATTCGGCGATAACATGTACTGGGTCGTCTCAGGAACTTTCTCCTGCTCTGTGGATGGTGTCGAGATCGACACGCTGACCAGGGGGCAGTGCTTCGGGGAGATGACCATGATCAAGTTGTGTCGGCTGCGCAAGAGCGGCGTGCCCGAGAGCGAGATCAGGAGCAAGTGCATGCGGGCAGCGGACGTGAGGGCCGTGGAGAAGTCTGTGGTCCTGAAGCTCAGCTACGCCGATGCGCTCTACCTGATGAGGACCGCTCCCAATCTGTGGTGCTCCCTGGAAGACATCTCGAAACAGAGGTCTACAAGGATGGAGCGCTTGTCTACCGTCGTTGAGTGATGGATCCCGGATCAAGTTCTGTATATTATCATCATGTGCTAACGAGATGTCTTCTCCTCCCCTAGGTGGAGTGAAAAGGTTTCACATCTTTGTAAGAATATGTAATGCACTAGTCGCATGACGCTCACGAGACGTCTGAGCAAGATCGCAGCTCTCATGCACCCTGCACTTCCTTTTACATTCTTCATGTTCAACAATCCCAGAGTACACATCAACCAATTTACACGGGCGTCAGTCGTGAAATATCGTTCTTCTCATCCTCTCTAGAACCACGGGATTCTGGCTATTGCGTACAGTCAGCACGAGTGACCGTCGCACTTGACTCACCAAACAATATCGTGCTTCGAGTACGGAGCAGGAAGTCTTGCTACGCCGTCCAAGATAACGATAGTTCCCTCCTGCACAGTGAAAGAAACCCTGTGCTGCATCGCCGTCAGCACCGCAGATCTCCGCTACGCATGCCTCTCACAGCACTTAGCCTATCTTTGACGCTCTCCAGCCTCTCGGCAACCTTGGCTGGATCATGCTCCTCCGCGGGAACTCGGTCCCTCCTTGTCAGAGGATGATCCTGCTCCATAGAGGCGAAGTCTATCTCCACGATGGGCGCGTCTGACCTGGATGATGAGTGGAGGACGAGGACAGAGCAAGGAAGCATCACCTGCTACGCTCTTGACAGCTCCGTTGAACAGCATCGAGGCTCCCCAGTTGCCTGCCTCCCCTGCTCCTCCTTCCGGCTGCCGAGCAAGCGTTAGCAGCGGGCCTCCCGCCGTGTCCACACTGACCTTGGTGAGCATGACGGTGTTGTGCGAGATCGGATCCACTGTGTAGACGAAGCCCCTTCTCCTCGTCTTGTCCACCAGCTCCACCTCCACCCCCTTCCCCACCCGCTCCATCAACAGCTCCTCCATGCCTGGCGTCATCCCCTTGCTCCTACATCCAGATCTAGGCGTTCAAAGCTCAGTGATTTTCTAAGTGGAGTACTAATAAAAAAGGGCAGGGTCCTGATCTGCTTCATGATCTGATCTTATTAGTGTTGGGCCCGTGTTCGAGTCCTGCCAGGCTATGGCGGGCAGACGCATCCCGAACGGGGAAGGAGGAGGAAGAGGAGGAGGAAGAGGAGGAGGAAGAGGAGGAGAAGGCGACAAGAAATGAGTGCGAGGAAGCAGCAAAGGAAGTCAAGCACGTGATAGGGCGCACAACCTGACCCCTGCTTCCTCGTTTTCGAACCCCACTCCCCTCCAGCGTCGCCGCATGGGATCCTTGTATGGAGAAGAAGCGAACATCACCCTGTCAGGATCCTTCGACGGATAGGAGGAGGACGAGATCTCTCCCGTCCCCTCCTAAACCCATGAAGCTCTCTCTGCTCTCCTGTGCGCTCCTCGTGGCTCTGAATTTCTCCCTCCGTGCATGTTTCGCAGCCCGCGTTCCGCCCCAACCCTCGCTGCTGTTCAAGGGCGGGGAGGAAACCGTTCGCTTTCGCAAGCTGCATGACAAGGAGCCCGATCAAGAGACCTTTGAGACTCCTTTCAACCAGGCCATGAACTCCATCCATGAGCATGTGGAGCAGGTCAGACAGCCCGACGACTACGGGTCCCTTGGCCTCCCTCCCCGCAGCAGCCACATCGTCATCGACGGCGCTTCAGTAGCATGGTCATACGGGCAGAGGATGAAGTTCAGCTGCCTGGGACTGAAGAAAGTGATCGACTTCTTCCTGGATCAAGGCTACCAGCACGTCATAGCGCTGGTCGGGTACGCCTACACGCAAGAGCCGCCGAAAGGAAGCAACAGGACGAGGGTGGCCGATGACCCTGACGCTCTCCTTGCGATGAAGCTGCACGGGCACGCGCTGCTGATGCCCCCTGGAGCGAACGAGGAGTCCATGGTGCTCCAGTACGCCTTCATGAGGGGAGGCTTCGTAGTGTCCAACAACGACTTCTCTGACTTCAAGCGATCTTGTACCAAGGAGGAGGAGGAGTGGGTGCGCACCCATCACCTCTACTTCACGTGGGTCGAGGGCGAGTTCCTCCCCATGTGCGACAGAGACGACAAGCCTCCCAAGCCCCTCTCCTCCTCTGAGGACGAGGGAGATGCGGCAGACGGGGAGGCCATGATGGATCGCATGGAGGACGCTGACGAACAAGGTAACGATATGGCGAATGGTGGAGACTGGGAGCAGGGAGAGGAAGCGGATCCTTTCTTGTCTTGGAGGGCGCTGGTCCCCGACGGCGGTGTGGGTCTTCTTCGCAAGCTGTCGCCCCTCTCACTCTTTCATGCTCTCAAGGTGAATGCTTCCATGCGGTTGTGCCGTCCTAGCTGACCTGAGGGACTGGCAGGCAAAGAGGCTTGACCTCCTGGACGAGACGACTCTTCAGAGGCTTATCAGCATCTCACAGCATGCAGCGGCAACGCGAGAGGAGGGGGCGGCGAACGTCGCGTACCTTGAGGGCAGGTTCGGAGTGGTCGACTCAGTCGATGACGAGGTCTTGGTGCAAGGAGGGATGCTAGAGGAGGAGACTGCGATGGAGATGAGTGGTGAGCTCGTAGCTCTCGCGTCCCCCGATCTCCTCAGAGGGCGCATCCTCCCCGTCGGAACGAGCGTGGAGTTCGATGCAGTGTGCGACCTATCACTTGGAAAGTGGATAGTGACGAGGCTGGTGAGACACGATTCCCCTCTCCCTTCTCCCCTACTGCCTTGTTGTTGCTCCCCCCCTCCTCCCCTACCGCCTTCTCCCTCCCTCCTCCCCTACCGCCTTCTCACTTGCTCATCCCCTACTACCTCCTCCCTCCTCCTCAGCCATACTCATCAGCTTGCTGGCAGGTGAGGACCGGGTGCGTGAAGGAGCAAGAGGAGAGGTTGACAGCAGCGACTTGTGTGCTCGCTGGCTTGCTCGGGCATGCGTCAGTCGAGGACATGTCTGCCTTCTGGCGGCAGCACGGACCCCAGGACCTCACGGCAGTCAGCATGCAGCTCGAGGGCAGAGTCTTCAGCACCTCCCACCTCCTCATGAACAAGGCTTACTTTTGCCGGGGGCTCTCAGCCCCAGCCTGCCTGCAGGAGCTCTTTGAACCTGACGCCTTCGTTACCGACAGCGCAAGGAAGGTCGGCCTCCCGACCACCGTTGAGGAGTTCTTCCGTTCCCGTCACTCCCCCCTCGCGTTTCCCCACCTTCCTTGCCTCTGTGCGGTGGCCTCGGACGGTCTGACCATCCTCTTCTTTCCTCTCGAGGTCTGCAGGATCCAGTTCATGTCTCCCTTGCAGAGTCCAGCTGCTCCCTTGGGCTCCTTCCAGCAAGGCTTGCGCCCGCCGCAGAACTCCGCTCCTCAAGCGCACCAAAAGCACCTCTTCGAGAAGCTCGAGGAGTACTTCAAGCGGCAAGAGGAGCTGGTCTCCAAGTCACTTCATCACGCTGACCCGTCGGAAGGAGCGGAAGCAGGAGAAAGAGCAGGAGCACGAGCGGGAGCAGGAGCGGTGGATGATGTGCGCAAACAGTCCAACTACATCCTGCGAAAGTTGCGGAAGGCGATCGACAAGCACACAATGGCGCTTGAGAAGAGACTGTTTGACATCCAGATGAATCAGGCGATGGAGGTGGATCAGCACGTCAAGACCATCATGGACCGCGACAACCTCACGCTCGCTGACTGCAAGGGCAACGTGTCAGACTCTGTGGAGCAGGAGGAGGAGCAGGAGGAGCAGGAGGAGGAGCACGAAGGGGAGGATGAAGAGGATGAAGAGGAAGGCCTGACCAGATCGGATGTGCTGGACTCTTCCCTGCCCTCTTCCATGGAGGTAGCGGGCGAGAGGAACCGCACAAGGCACGAGGAGCTGGAGGAGAGGCTACAGCGGGGGGAGAAGACCATCTCGCAGCTCAAGGACGAGCTGAGGAGGAGAGACGCTGTGGTACAGTCCCTCACCGACATGCTCCATGATGCGTCCAAGGGAAGGCCAAGTGTGCGAGCGAGGTGACTTGAGATGTTGTGGGATACGTGCAGTTCAGCTGACGTGCTTGTGACTTGCTCAGGATCCGCCGGGAGCTGCAAAACTTGACGTCTTCGTTGAGATCAGTCTCAGACGTGGAGGAGTGAGGGGTGACATTTGTGTTATTCATAAGTTACATGTGTGTAAATAGAAGTTGAAGAACAGCGGCAACTCCATTGTCTCTTGTCGATTGTTGTCATTGTTTAGTGATGTTGTCCAGGGCGCATTCTGCTCTCTTTCGCTCCAGCGGGTCTTCACTTTGAGCGAGAGACTTCAACGTCTTAGCCAGTCCCCTCTCCTCCTTGAGCACCTGCCGCCAGTTAGCGATCGCTAGTTCGCATCCCTCCCTTCGTACATGTTGCAGGTGAGGCTTGAGGGAGAACTGGCAGAGGAGGAGTAGGCAGTTTCTTCTGATGTCTCCGTTGTGATGTTTGAGGAGACTGCAGCAGTCTGACAAGCAAGACGTGGAGGGGAGCTGATCAACGCTCTACACGAGAGTCAGACCTTGTCATCGCGGTAGCTCAACAGACCTTCATGACGTTGATGTGGCAAAGAGCTTCAGTGGCGAACAACAAGACAAGCTCATCGTCGTGGGAAAGGAGAGAAGAGAGTTTGATCACATCCGACATCCCTGTTGCCACACCTTCAACATCAAGTCCCTTCGTGACCGGCACAGCAACAGGCTCACCCGAGTTGTGGATGAGATGCTTTGCCGGGCGAGAGACGCAGATCTGAGGTACCAGTCACCTTCCCTCGCATGCTCAACCTCCCGATACCGCGCAGACGCACAGGACCGCGAGTCGGACGACGTCGACGTTCTGACTGAAACTGATGGTGAGCTTGAGGGAGAGCCGAACGCCTCGAGCGACGTCTTTGAACGTGAGCTGAAAGGCAGTCAGGAGCGACAAGATACGAGGAGGGAAGGGTGAGATCATGCAAGTGACAGGGGGGGGGGGGAAGAGGCCGAGGATGCAGCATACAGAGTGGGCAAGCTCCTCCTGGCGGAAGGAGAAGAACATGGCGATTCTGAGCAGGAGGGTCTGAATCTGTTGCGGGCTCTGGTTGCTCTCGCTCTCTTCCATCCAGCGCCTCAGATCTTCCACCCTCTCCTCCTCCTCCCCGTCGTCCACGTAGTAGAAGATCGCCGCCACCAACCATGCTGGAAACTCGTTGAGGCTCTTGGACACCCTTGACTTCTCCTCCGAGTTGAGCATCAGCCGCAGCAGGTGAACCCCTTGCCTTCCCGCCACTCAGTCCCCGCGCCTCCTCGACGTCTTACCTACCGCATCGCGATCTCATGCAGGTGCTCCGTCGAGTTCGGGCTAGTGCGCTGGCTCCTCCTCGACTTCTCCTGCCCCGCCAGCTGCAGCTCAAGTCTGGTGGAGTCTGCCGGAGGGTCAGAGGGCCGCAGGCCGTCGCAGGAGCTCACAGTCTCTCAGCTCCTCGTTCTCTTCCAGCAGCTTCAAGAGCTGACCGGAGATGAGACTGTTGTGCTTCAGCCCCTCGGTCATCTTGGAGTCTCCCCATCCATTCATGCTCGAGGAGTAGTACTGAACCCTCCGCTCTTCCCTGTCGCTGCTGTACAGCACACCGTCGACGGGATGGTCGGAGTTTGAAAGCTCGGCTCGTCTCTGAGACGTATCACGTGTCATGTCAGTCCGCAAGCTCACTGGCACCGGGTCAACCTGCGCTTGCTGCTGCTGCTGCTCTCGCTCCTTGTAAGACTTGAGGTCTCGTTTGGTCTCCAGGAGCTGCTGACGTAACCTGAAGTGACATGACAGGAGGAAGCGCGATGAGCTTTCTCAAAGATCTCACATCTCCTCCGATTCCCTGTAAGCTTTCAGCTTCTCGTTGGCTTTTGCGAGGTTCTGCGAAGGCGGTGAGGAGGAAGGCAAGGTGAAGGAAGAATCAACATCCTCTGACTCTTTCAACAGGTTCATGAAGACGTTCGCCTCTTTCTTCTTCTCTTCCACCTGCAGGATTAAACAATCACAGCGAATCAGGTATCGCTCTCCTCGTTCAGTACCTCAGCAAGCAACTCCAATCTCACATGCCCCCACTTGGCATCACACCGCTGTTCTATCATGATAGGCATGTTCGTCTCGGTCTCGAACAGCTTGTCTTCAAGGAAGTGAAGACGGTCTACTATCTTTGAGCTGAGGTAAGCCTGACTTTTTGCTTCTCGGAGTCTGAGAAGGGGTGAGAACATCTGCCATGCAAACAGAGCACGGACTCTTGTTCTAGCTCCGCCACTTTCTGCTTGAGAGAAGCTGCTTGAAAGCCCAGGCTGTTCTCATGAAGTCTTGGAGGCTTCATGTCTGATCTACAAGGGGTAACACTGTCGGATGGCATCAACTCCTCGAAGATCTTGGGAGTTTTGAGTTCTCGGTCATGCATAGCCGAGTCTTGATGACTCTGCTGTAAAAAGATTGAGGTGAGGAGCAAGGAGAAGAGGATCAAGTAACAGACCTGCAATGAGATCATCGGATGCCTCTCAGGGGTTCCTTGGAAGATCATGCTCCTGACAGCAAACTATCAGAACGATGGACAAGCTACGATGAGCAATACTTGTCCTTGACTGACGATCTCCTCTGTATTTCTATGTCAAAGAATCCTTTCCCATCTTGTATACTCTCAGCACATGGAAGCAAACCTCAACAACCTCAACCACTCTCACCTCTTGTCTCTCCCATCTCTTTGCGCAAGAAACGCAGCACAACCTTGGTATCCGGGGCTCCTCGCAGCAGCGATCGAACCTGCACAGGATCTCGCCCGAGCACCTCGACGTCATCGACACGCAAGAGAACGTCTCCTGCTTGAATGCCCCACCCCTCCCCTGTCAACCACCCCCAGCATCACTGGTGGCAGGGGTGCAGCACAGCAGCTCTACCATATTTCTCTCTGGAGATATCGCATGCAATGCTAGCCGGCCCTCCTGGGTAGATAGCCTGAACCTGAGCAGCAGCTCGGTGACTTGAGAGTGAGAGGAACGTGTCTAGTACCACAAGCTTTCCTTCTTCCTCCTCCAACAGGATGCCGAGGGCAGAGATCATCTTCAAAGAGCCGCTGCAAAGCTACCAAATCTTGGCAGGCATCGCCTCTATGAGTAGCTACGTCCCCCGTGGATTTCGCATCAGGTCCTTCAAGATTCACTCAGAGACAAAGGAGATGATCCATTTCATTTTCTTGACTCGAGGCAGGGGGGGCGTTAACGTGAGTAGTTTTCTTCCCATCTATCTTTCCTTGCTACTCCTGTGTGCGACCTTACTTGGCCTGCCTGCTATCTGCCATCGATGGCTTACTCCAGCGTCCTCTCGCTGCTGTAAAAGCTGCTCCTCATCATCATCATCTTCCACCATCACATGACATCACCTCGCCCCATCCTATCCCATCTCTGCTATCTCAATCATTATCTCAATCACAAATATCGTTTCCAGGCATTGCAGCTCATTGGATTCACCTACTGTGTCTGCTCTGTCTCTGTTGTGTGCTGCTGCTGCTAGTCTTCTATTTGCCTCGTCACTCTCCTCTCATCCTACACTCCTTCCTCTCCCCCCCTCCCCTCTCCTCTCCTCTCCTCTCCTCTCCTCTCCTCGGCCTCTCCTCTCCTCTTCGCAGGTTCGATCGCTCTGCATCGCAACGGCCTCAACCAGGGTTTCCTACGAACAATCGAAATAGAAAAATGTCGTGGCCCATGCCTTTCATGCAATTTTGAAATCTTCAACTGTAATTTGAGATATATACTGTCATGATTTCAGGGGGCTACTGAACTCTCTGTCTCAGGGAAGGGGTTCTGGAAATGCCGTCACTCGGACTAGCCGATTCCGCCCGTCACAGTCACGGAAGCATGAGTCCGCCGATCGGGCCGGGGGGGCCGGGGCGGGCCACACTGGGCCCCCGGCCCGTTACTACCGGTCAGCCACCGTACGGTAGTACCGGGTAACAGTACGGTCGTAGTAACCGGGCCGCTACACCCGGCGGCGGCCCAGCCTACGGCCCCACGACGGCCCGAGGGGTTAGTCCACGGTCAGGGCCGGTCCGGGGCGGGATCCTCCCGTCTGGCAGTAAGGTCCGATCGGACCGTACGGCCGTGACGGCTTCACTTGAATGCATTCCGAGTTCAAGGCATTCAAGTGAAGCGATTCACAAACGGCGCTCCGGCCGGGGCACTGGGTGATCAAGTTCAGTCGATCAGTGAGAGTCAGCCGCGTCAGTCTCTGAGTGAACTTGTGACTTCCGAACCGGGCCCGGGGAACTTGCAAGTTGCCCGGCCGCTCAGGCTAGGCACTCTTGAAGTGACTGAGAACTGAGCCGAGTCAGCCTCGGGCTTCAGTGCCAGATCACTATGCAAGTGGGTGGGTAGTCATTGCTTTATGCGCATGTTGTAGGGGTACTCTTGGTAGAAAAAATGTCGAAAAAATGTATATGAGTAGGTAGGGTACTCACCCCTACCCCATAAGGTCATGTCACTAAGAATTTTTTCGCACAAACAAGAATCAAACTTCTCCACCCCCGCAACAATCACCCTACCCTCTCATATTGGATTATTTCTCTACCCCCTACCCCCAATAATTTTCACTACCCCATATTTGACCTGTCATTACCCTACCTCAATTACTCTCCTGACTCGCTTCACTCCTTATGTATGGGTCAATTTTGTACCCCACCCCATAAGTTGGTGTACCCCCACCTTGCAATTTTTCGTTTACAGCCTTGCATGGCGAACATCCAGTGAGGTAAGGAGGAGCGGAGGGAGAGGAAGCGAGGAGACGGAGGATGTGAGGGACAGAACAGAGGACAAGATATACAATGCACAGAGACCAGGATCAGAGTAGATGCAATGGAGGGCAAGGGACGGCTGGGTATGTTGGAAGATGAAGGGACGGTCGAGGCAGGGATTCCCGAGAGAAGGGGAGATAGGCGGTGAGAAGGGGAAGATCGAGAGAGGAACAGACAAGTTATCGAGGATTAGCTGATGAAGATGAGTTAGGTGAGGCATCGAGCACATGAGGGTCAAAACGGGCCAAAGAGCATGAAAGGGGAGGAGAAGAACAGCCAAGGGTTGCAACTCCGAGTTTGCAGGTGTTGTCCGGGAAGGATGTTCAAACAGAAGAGTAGTGACAGGTTTGCTTGCGTGGCATCATATACTTAGCAGGAAGTCTGTAGCACTAGAATTTTTTCATGAGACACGCGGAGAAAGTATTTCATCTCTATTGTTGATACTGATTTTATCCTCGTTCCCTTGTGCAGAGACACCATCCTACTTTTGACGGACAGCTGATTGGAAGCCCTTCGTCACACCCTCTTTGTCGTCGCTCAGCCAAACAAACCCGTCAGGTAGAGCAGCACAGGGCAGTTGCAACAGAAAGAGCACGAGGCAGGTGCTACAACTCCACCACCATCACCATTCAGTCGAGCATGTCAGGAGCCATAAGAACCTGGTGTCTCATCGCTGGCCTGGCGCTAGTGGATGGCTTCCAACCTGGTCTTTTCCTTGCAAGATCGTCTCTTCTCTCTTCATCACCTTCGAGCCTTCCGATGGATCGAAGTCGCAGAACCTCCCCAACAGTTTGCTTGCTCCATATGGTTGACGAGTTGTCCAGCCCCGAGCCTGCTCCTGGTCTTCAGCGTTTCAAGGACAAGGCGGAGAGGAAGCGTCAACGTCTTGCTGCCAGGATGGAGCGACTGGAGTCGAAGATCTCAAGGAAGATGAGCAAGATGATTGAGAAGATGCCAGCGAGGATAGCAAGGCTCACGGAGAGGAGGGAGAGGGTGGCAGCCATGGTGAGGAGGGTGACGCCCGACTCCCCCAAGAAGCTTGTCCTCATCCTCCTCGTCTGCATGGCTGTGTACCCCATCGCATCCTCAGCTTGGATCGCGCTCTCCGCAGCAACTGCTGTGACCGTGCTCATGTTCAACATGCTCGCCGTCTGTCTTACACCAGCTTCCATGTTCCTCGGTGCCGGCCTTGCATTCTTTCAGCCGGTCCTCTTAGGGACAATCTCCTCTTTCCTCACGGCCCTCACGGCCCTGGTCGCCTCCATGATCGCCTACTTTCCTCGGGCCCGCTCGCTCCTGGGCCTTCTCGTGGCCTCTCTCCTCCCTTTCTTCAACGCGTGGGTGGCGATGGTTCCAGCCAAGACCTTCGAGGTGGCTGCTTGTCCCTCCTCCCGTCGTCTCTGACCATGTTGCAGGTGGTGAAGACGATCCAGATTCTCGACCCCCTCCGTCCACTCTTCCTCGATCCTGTATTTCGTCCTCTCCTCCCCGACATGTTCGCCTCGCAGTTCCTTGACATCGTCCCCAACCCCTTCGTTATCAAGGGGCCTGTCAATGTGATTGTGGAGAGCACAACGGCGACCCCTTACATGGCGCTGAAGCTGACGGTCTCAGCAGCAGCTTTCGCCATCGCCTTGTGGGGTTGGACAAAGGAGAAGGAGCGGCTCAAGGCTGCCTTCAGCAAGACCAGCTCCTCTCTCCGGTTGGACGAGGCTAGTGTCAGCACCAGCCCAGGGGAGTCAAAGAGCCTCACCTATGACGAGGAGGAGGCTCGAAAACTTGCGTTGCAGGTGCAGTCCTTCTCCACCTCCTCCATCCCTTGCCATCATCACGTTCGTTCCCAGTTCCCTCCTTCTGTCTGCCACTCTGCCTCGATGTTTCATAATGCATTTTCATCTTTATTGCTGGCCCTGCCTCGTGTCCTCCCTCCTGACAAAATTTGGCCATCGCAGGATTGGGAGAAGAAATACAGCATGCGGCCTGCGCCTAGGTTAGCAGAGTTCGCTCCTCTTCTGCCGTCTTCCTCACTCTCCTCTCCAGCCAAAACCCGGCAGACTGGAGCACGGACGATCTCTGCTACATGCTTGAGAAGGCGGACCTTGCAGGTGGGACCTCTCTTCGGAGCCTCTTCCCTTGATGGAGCATCGCAGGTTGTGTGGAAGCGATTCAAAAGTCCAAGATCGACGGCAGGGTCGCGCTTACACTGACGGAGGACGACGAGGAGGAGATCAAGACGGTACCCCCACCTCCTGCAATTTTCTCTCCCCTTCCTCCCTTCCCCTTTCCTTTGGCTACCTCCCTCCCTCCCCCCTTGCTCTAACTCCCTCCCTCCCTCTGACTTGTGTGCAGGAGTTGGGAATTGAACGGCTGGGAGAACGTCGGCGGCTCCTCTTGTTCTTGCAGGACCTGCGCGCTCAGCACGACCAGCACAAGTTGTACATTATCACTTTTGTCGTTGCAGCGATTGAATGTGATGACAGGAAAACTAAGGATGCCAACTGATGGAGACATGTTGCCAGGAGTAGAGGGAGGCTAGGATCTCTACAGGATAGGTGTACTATGCAAACGTTACAAACAGCAAGCAAAAGTTACGAGCTTGATGCTGAAGCAATCAAGTCATCATTTCATGTTCCTCTTGCCAGCCTAGCCAGATTGAGTGCTGAAACGGAATACCAAAGTAAGAAACTCTCGCAACTTAGATTCTCTACACGAGGCTAAACAAGTAGCTATGGATCTATTGGTGTGGTCACCTCATCAGCAGTGCGTCAACATCGCCTCCGAGCATGGAACGCGCGGCGTCTCTGGTCATGACCTGCGGAGATTTCAGGGGCGGACTTTCTTCACTTGTTTTGCAACCTCGATAGCACTGGAGTCCTGGGAGGCGGAGAGTGATGACTTGACAACTAGGCCCTGAGAGGGAGGAAAGGGAAGTAAGTGGGGGGAAGGAAGAGATGAGGAGTTAGCAAGCCAATCACACAGCAAGGGACCATACAACCTTGTCCATGCCGTAGTGAGAAAGCCAGATGAGACCTCCCTCAGGGAGGAGGATTAGCGTCTCCTCGTCAGCATTGGAGAGCACGACCTACATCTTGGTCAACCATCGTCGTCACCCACTCCCTTCTTTGTTTCACCTTGGAGGATCGAACCCTCGAGGTCCAGAAGTCACTCTGGTTCAAGTCTTCGATGCCATCATACGGAACATTTCGACCCTGGTGTTCACCAACCAGAAACAAGTCAGAAGAAAGTCGGGCACTCAGAAGGCCTCTGGTCAAACCTGGCCAGCATCCAATACTTCCACGATATCAGGAGCTCCAAAGTCACTTTCACCGATGATACAGCAGCTGTTGCACCAACGAGGCTCCGCATTTCTATCCGCACGGAATCGAAACCATCCATTTATGTGGAAGAGTTCAACCAATGCGCCTGTTCCAGGATGCAGGAGCAAAGTACAGCCACTTCCAAGTTGTGCAACGCCAGAACGATACACCCAGGGAACTTGGCCAGCACCCCTAGAGCTTTCTGAGAGCTCGTTTCGCACACGAGTGGCTTCTTCAGCCATAGCTACTTCAGAGGCCTTTTGCTTCTCCTTCCTTTCTTCCAGCTCTTCCGGACTGAGGAACTTCTGCGCAAGCTTCTCTGCGACATTGTTGACAATCTTCTGCCTGCGGATGTGGGTTGAAGGCTTACGGCAAGTAGGACACACTTGCTTGGTCTTCAGCCATTGCTTCAAACAGATGCCACAAAACACGTGGTCATCCTCACACATAGTATGAGCATCCACCACCAAGCTCTGACAGATCGAGCAGAGGTACTCCTCGCAGAACTCCTCAGCTTCCTCTTTGGTCACTCTCGTGGACCTCTTGGTCTCCAGCATGACTGCAACTTCCTCAGCTGAAGGACGCGAGTTGGGCTGCAGGCTGAGCAACATCTCGACTACAGAGCCCAACCGTTGACTTTCCTGTTTGCATTCAGCGATTGTTCGTGCAATGAGCTCCTTGTTGAATGCAAAGACTCCTCCAGCACATCGAGCTCCAAGTGGAACGCCAGTGATCAGTTCCACCAGAATACAGCCGAGCGCCCAGATATCATCCTTGCTGTCGTAACCCTGCAAACCAGGGCTTACACGCAGCTAGCTAAAAAACGTGGTTTTCACCTTGGATCCTGCTTTCTCCGGCGAGGAATACGTCAAAGTACCAGCTCTGGAGTTTGCTCCAGCAGAAGATGCAACACAAGCCAAACCAAAGTCCGTTACCTACATCACATCACGACACAGATCAGGGTTAATTCTGACAATCACCTTGATCTCCAAACCATCTCCTGACAACAGCACGTTGTCTGGTTTCAAATCCCTATGCAGCATCTTCTTGGAATGAATATGCGCCAGAGCGTTGGCCATCTGGTGCGCCAACATACGTATACGCTCCTCAGGTACTTCTCCAGCTCTTCGCTTTTTTACTAGCTCGGACAGTGTTCCACCAGCAGCCAACTCCATCACAATACAGAAATACTTGCCGTTCTTGCGCATGAAGCATGTGTAATAACGAACAATGTATGCGGAATTCAACTGCAGAAGCATCTGAACTTCTCTCTTCAAAGACTGCACAGACATTCCATTTCTCTGCAGCTTCTTCACGTTGATCATTTTGACAGCATATGCCATGTCATCAATCGTATTTTTCATTCTATAAGTCTTTCCGAACGCGCCTTCTCCCAGCAGAGCGTCTTCTTTGTTTGGCATGAACTCAAATTGTGATTCAGTGGCATCGAATCCATTCGGTTGCATTTGAATGGCAAGCTTAGAAATCTGCTCCAACTGAGCCCCAAGAACTTCCTGCTTGCCCTTGGACATCTTCTGCATAGTGATGTCTTGGCAAACACAGTTCACTCCCGTGCAGACTCCATTGGTATCATACTTTCCGGATGCGTTCAACAACAGGTCGACCTGGCGAGCTATCACAGGAAGCTCCGAAGCACGCGCCTTTGAGATGCTGAACTCGTACGCACGAACTTGTTCCCCACGGAGTGCATGCTTAAGAACAGATTGGAGAGATTCTTGCAGCTTTTTGGGGACCAAATCAAGCAAGTTCTTTCCCATCGCTTCCTCCTTGGTAAACCCGGTCAACTGCACACACATGTTGTTCCATTGGACGATTCGAAGGTCGCAATCCAAACCGAAGACTGGGGCTTTCACGGAATCCATCAAGTGAATCATTTCAGTACGTGCAGAGCTTGCTTCTGTTTTGTTCTTCATTTGAGCATCAGCTACACGCTCGAGCAAATCGGTTCCAGGAAGATCGCTGCCACGTCCAAGGTCGTTGACAAGCAATCCAAGGCCGGACGCAGCATCAACCTGCCACTTCAGCCAAGGTGCGCATTGTCCTTTCACTGCATCCGAGAAGATTTCAAAAGATGCACGAGGATGCATAGCACCTGAGCAAGAAGTGAGGCTCCTGGCAAGAGAGACACAAGGATCACACCTGTCTTCTTTTCACGCGAAGCAGGGGCTGCAGGGTTACCGGCCCATCTGATCGTCGTCGAGAGTTCAGGACGGAAAAGCATCAAAACTCCATCTTCGAGGACAGGAACCAACAGAACACCAGCTGCAATGTTTGAAAACGTTTCAAAGGACTCGCTCAAATCGGACATCTTATCCCAGCAGCAGACCTGACAAGGAACAACTTTTAACAAAGCAACACAAGGGTAGATCAGAGGGATCTCACTTGTTTGCCGTCAGAAGAATTCATCCACCTTGCTTGTACGGCATTCAAAATCATTCGGATGGAAGTCTGCAAACAAAGTAAACAAAACATGCAAGAAACCTTTTCCGCCAAGAAATGTCACCTGCCCGGGTGTCTGACCAACTGAGGTGATTCTGCCCTGGTAGCTAACTGCAGCTCCGGACACTCCAGGAACAAGATCCATCAGATTTGGCGCAGAAGACACAAGACCCTTGAGCCGCAAGCCGGGATTCATTCCTTGCTCGCTCATGATGTCACAAAGTTTGGCATGCAATTCAAGGTTCCTATCATGCCTTTTGTGAGCCTGTTCAAAGTTGAATTAGAAGATTTGACGCATGATCATATTTTCACCTCAAGGTCAAGCAAATTTGCCACACGCATAGAAAACGCCTGGGCCAAGAAATCTCCTGCCATTCGCATCTGATAGGAAACGAATTTGGGAGACATGTGGTGACCAATGATCAGTCCCCACAATTGATCCTTCACTACGAGAGCAAGACCGATTGATGCTGTAACACCCATGTTGTTCAAATACTCCAAATGGCACTTGTGCGCTCTTCGAAGTGTAGAACCACCCAAAGATATGGTGCTTGACGATTTACTCTTGTCTAGCATGATAATGTCCGAATGGTTAGCATTGCTGTCCATAATCAATCTGACATGCTCAGACTTGTACTGGTCACGAATGCGCTGCGGAAGATCGGTAGCAGGATAGTGCAAACCAAGATACGAGTCATCAAGATTTTCAACGGTCCTTTCAGCAACGACTTCCCCATGGCAGTCTTCATGGAAATAGTACACCATGACCCTGTCGTAGCCGAAGATGTCGAAGAAGTCATTGCAAACCTGCTCGCATAGCTTCTGCTGGCTGTCCATCATATTCAGACGATCGATAGCAGCACGCACACGCTGATGCGCAGCGAAGGCATTCTCGGAAGGGTCCAGTTGCTCGACGTCAACGACGAGGCCGTCCGCAGCCCTGTGCATGATGAGATTTACCGTTCCTCCAATGTCATCATCGGTCCTCTTGGCAATGTTCACAGTGATGGGGTTCACCAGATCAAGGCTCTTGGCTACGAGAGCCGTCTCGATTCGCTGCTTCTCTTCAAACAGATCCAGCATAGCTCTTCCCAGCAACTCCTCGCAAGGCCATCCAAGAATGCTGTCTGTGTTTGAGCTGGCAGCTTTGATCTTCAACTTGTCAGACTCATCTACAAGAAGAAATACTCCATGAGGCATGATCTGCCCAGGGTTATTAAGAACTCTCGCATAGTGCTCCATTTCTGCTTCATTGGGAATGAACCTGAAATCGCTGTCGCTGCTTCCAAAGGACTCATTGGACATGTTTGAACCACCAGATTCATAAACTTCATGCACAAGCACATCTGCCTGCAGCTGTCTGGCTCGAGCCGACATGAATTCCTGAGATGAACTGGACATTTCCGTGGTCTGTCCGATTCGACTTCACAGAGTAGCAAACTGCGTCAAGCTGCAGGTGATATTTCAACAGTAAAACTGCTCAGAAAAATCGTCAGTCAATCAGCGTAATAAGAGGTCTAAGATGTCCACTGCAATTCAAGTGGACTCACTACATCTGTATGCAAACTCTAAGTCTTGCCAGGTCCTAGCGTAATCTCATTTCAAGGGTTGCAACTGGCCATATCTTCGGACTCTCAATCATATTTCATGCGCACAATCATCCACGAGAAGAGACTAAGTCAGGAGGAAGACAGATTCTTTGTCAGGTTGACCAAACTTCAGCCATTTCCTTCTTCCAGCCTCATAAATCCTCCGCCTAGATCCTATCCTCTTCTCGCGCCATGACGATGCGACCGTCGCGCGGTTGGTTAAACGAAAAGCAAGTAGAATCAGCTGATTTTAGCAAGAATGATTCTAAAGTAGACTAGATTTGACTTAAAAGTTGACTACAACCGGTGTGTGATTTTGGACCCCCGATTTACGAAAAATCGGTCAGAAGAGGGGGTCTTCGGAAAAAGAGATTTTGCGCAAGAGGTGCTACATCAAACACATTTTACGCTCAACAGTCATAATTGAATATGTAAATTTGACAAAATGAGGGCATTTTGAAGATTTGATTGGAGAAGATTGGATTCATGCGCGGACTGTCAAAATTATTACATCCATTTGACTATATCCCTTCAAGAGTTTATACTCAAGCAGGGGTCGCTGGGGCTCACCGAACCTCATACAATCTCATCCGGCCTCCATCACCAAACGTTGTGATATTGCAACCTTCGAACTACAAAGCGACGGAATCTACTCCGAATAAAAACTCTTATAATTAAAAACATTTATTATCGACTCGACGGTATTATTGCACTGGCTAGCGTATTGGTACAAGTTTTAAAAGTTTACTTTTAATATATATACTGCGAGGAGTCGAAACGAATTTGAGTGTCAAATCACTCAAATTTTCAAAATATCCGACAATATTTCAGCATATCCCTGATCATCGGATTCGGATTTAGGCCAGTCACTATCATTTTTAACTTAACTTTGAGTAAAAATCACTGAGCCTGGTCAAAGGCTATAGCCTTTGAATCCGAGTGGATTCAGACCGGGTGCAGTGCCGTACGGTGGCACTGACAGCCTGGCAGTGACGGTAGTGTCGCGGCCGCGGCGAGGCCCGCCCGGCCGGGCTGGCAAGACAAGCCGGGCCGCCTGAGGCGCGCGGCAGGCGGCGCCGCATCATCATCCCGCGCGGCGGGCGGCGCATCACACGGTGATCAGATGGGTGCCGGGCCGACTCGGCGGCGGCGGCGCCGGATAGCCATATGATCCGATCATCTGCCAGCCCGGGGAAGCGCTCATCATGAGTACTCAGATGATGCTTCTTCAGTTACTCAAAGTTACACGCTTCCGCCCGGCGCCGCCGCCGCGCAGCCTAGTACGCCGCGGTCCCGGACTCGTAGCTCGGGAGTCCGCTCAGAGCCCCGGCTCGCCGGATGAATCATGACCGTCCGAGTCCGTTCAGCCTGCCGCCCTAACGGTTGGCTGAGCTAAGTTACTTCCATTTCCGACGGGACTCCGGCCCCGGAACTTCCGTCACGGTACGGTACGGTCAAGTCGCCGCGGCGGGAACTTCAAAGTTCCGATCCGGGCAGTTTCACGGGCCGCCGGGCCTCAGGCTGCAGTGCAGTGGGCCAGTCACCGTGGCACCGTGGCAGGCGGCCGCGCCCCGGCCCGGCGCGCTCACTGAGCCCGGGGCCCGACCATCGGACTCGGTGACTCCGCCGGGCCGTGGCACTGCGATCGGACGGAGCACAAGTTCACCGGGTGGCGCCGCGCAGTGCGGCCGCGTGGCGCGGGCCGCGGCGGCCCGGCGCTGGCCCGGGACGGCCGCGCCTGCTGCGGCTCCCGGATCACTCGGACGGGCCGGGCGGTGGCACCCGGTACGGGACTGACTTCATGATAAACTTTACTGGCCCGGTTACAGTAGTACTGCGCCGGCGCTGTCCTGGCACTGCGCGGCCTCAGTGGCTGCGGCGGCTCAGCGGCCGCCACACTAACGGGCCTGACAGTGCCGGCCCCGGCCGGCTACTAGGGCGGGCCGCGGCTAGCAACGGTCACCGTCACGAGCCTGGGCCCGTCATTGGACGGCCCGGGGGCCGGGTGGCTTCATGATTTCGGCGCCGGGCCCGACCCTGAGCACCGGGCCGCAGAGGCGCCGGCCCGCGGTGACCGCCGCTCGACCGGGTGGGCCTCGTCGAAATCGAACCGGGTTCGGTCGGATCCCCGTCCGCCGGATGATCATCCACCGCTGCCATGCGTGGATACACTGCGGCAGTGCCTCAGCAGTGCGGCCGGTTGACAGCCTGGCTCCGGCCGGGTGATGCGCGGCCGCTGGAGTCCGCGGTGAGTCCGAGCTGAAACTCGACAGACCACGTCAGAGTCGGCAGACTCCGACATTCCGTGGAGCCGTCCGACGCTGCTCGACGGAGGCTCGGCGGCAGCGGCATGCCGCACATCAGCCCTCAGCACTTTAGTCGTTATCGTCGTCATTCTGCAACACGGGAAGAAGGGGGGGAGGAGAGAATTTTCATGCGAGCAGTCAGACAAGCGAGTCGGAGAGCAGCGCACAATTGCAGCACCTGGAAAGGAGGGCGAAGATGACCTGGAAACGAAGGGAACATGGGAGATGATCGATCCTGGAACGGAGATCGTGCTGCCGGAAACGGCAGGGAAATTCTAGAGCGCCTGACTTTGTCATCGTCCTCCTCGTCATCATCATCACCACGAGCTCTCTGCATCCTGGAGAACGGGTTGAAAGGTTCCCCCCTCGCAGGATCGTCAGGATTTCTTCCACGGGAAGGAAAGAGTCCTGCAGAAACCATGAGGGTCACTATAGCTCGGGCAAAGCAACGAAGGGCAGACCTCCCATCCGGGAGAACACCGGGTGATTCGCAATCATCGAGCTCGGGAAATTCTGCATCATCCCACGGAAGATTTCGGCAGGGTCTGGCCGGGTGTCCACTTTTGATTTCTATCATGCAAGGTCAGCAAAATCCGTCAAGACATGCTACAAGTCGAGAGAACGCCCGTACCTTCCTCCTTGGGCCATCGAGAACTTTCAGTTCTTGCTGATGCTTCTTGACGTCACTCTGGAGCTAAACGTCCTCTCTTCACGGCCTGAAGGGGCGAGAATAACAATGAAACCTGTCTAGCTAATGGCTGTAGAGGGAGGGGCAGCGACTGATAAGGTAAGGCAAGTCATCCTATGCGGGTTCATAGAGAGCGAGTTACCTTCAAGATGGATGGAAGAACGTCTCTCAATTTCTTCACGTCCACTTTGCTCCCATTTCCAAGGTTGAGCTGAATTTTGAACTGAATTCAGCATTTTTACAGTCAGTTGCTTGAATGATGATCAAAGAACAAAAGTATTTCGAAACCTTGCCGTCTTTGCCACCGTTCAAGACGAGGCTAGTCGCGTTGGTAAGCTGATACTTTTTCAGGCTCGTGCGGAAGTGGAGAATGTGCTACCTTTGAGAAGTTGTTCTCGCTGGTCGAGCGATTTTTCGAGAGTTTAGAAAGGAAATCAATGTTTTTCCTGTTTGTTTGCCAGATGGCCATCAGTGGAGGGCAAGTGATTTTTGTTGCCACCTGCCCAGATTGATCCCGTTGCTCTTGAAGATACTACTTAGTTGGCTCTCTTCATCATCAAGATTCTTCTCGATCATCGATTTGAGTCTTTTATCCTGTCAATACCATCAAAGTCACTCAAAAATCATGATGCACGTGCTCACCTTCTCTGCTCTGGAAAAATTGGATCTCATGAGTTTATCGATCAATGCTCCTGTCTCTCCGAGCATTCGCTTGTCCACTTCTTTGATCTTTCAGTTTGTCAGAATTGACATCAGCAAGGATTATAGCACGTTCTACCACCTTGGTAAGGTTCTGCTTGAGTTGTAAATTCTTATCATCTATCTTCTCTGCATAACCACTGCAAGCTTTCAGCTCTGCGCGAGCCTCAACAAGGTTCCCCTTGCACACGTCCAGCTCCGTGCTGCATAATGAGCTCATTTTTCCGGTAGGGTCCCCTCCCCCCATGTCGCACTTCTCCTTCATGTAAGTCAAGAGCTTCTGGTACTGCTTCGTCAATTTGTCCAGTTTAGCAACCAGCCGCGCGTTCTCCTGCTGCAGATCTTTCGCTGCTGTCGCATTCTTCTCGCACTGAGAGGAAGCAAGAGCGTCTTGCTCAAACCTCTTCATCATCATGTGATAACCTCCCAGCGCCGCTGCCATCAGCATGATGCATGCGACGGCGCTCACACGCCCCCACGCCATCGTCTGCCCTTTCAGTAATCGGTGTCTTACTGCAGTTTCCCTTTATTGTTCTGAGGGGGGCTTGTAGATACCTCTAATAAGCCCGCATCAGTATAATTGCTTAAATATCTGAAGGGGCATCTGAAATGCGAACAAGTCAACTAGTAACTACGGTTGCACTGAGAGCTTGCTAGGCTAGTAGTAGGTCTCTTCTCCTCTTGCTTCATTTCCAAGGCTTTGTCTTGTTATCTCGTTCAACCCTTGAAGAGTTTGCCGCACTGTGTAACATAGCTTGGGCCAAACTGTCGGCACACGCAACACCCGCGGCCTAGCCACCTTCAAAGCCTCAGGCCTGAGGATTATTCTACAGTCAGGAAGGGTCAGAGCAATCGAAGATGTCAGTGGATATTGGCGTTATGCAGCTTGCCTTGCCCATCCTAGTTCGGCTCAGTGAAAGATGCTGCTGTGTCCAATGCTCCTCTAACTTCAGGCAAGTATCAAGTTCGCAAACCTTCAACGCTGCATTTTCCATCACTTTGGCAAACTGTATGACCAGAGCAATATGCAGACGGTTGGACAGCACAATATTGAAGCGTTTGGGTGTATGTTCTTTGAGTTCGTGAGCATGGAGACCATGAAGAGCAGGTAGACACGTGCAAAATAGTTTTTCAGAGTTTTCAGAAGTTCATTGTTTACTCAGCTCCTGCTAATGCGCGAGTGTAGATGCTTTGGCTAGCGTGCTTCGAGATAGCACGGATCATCCCCTTGCTCTCAAGATCAACAATCGCCCGGCGAGCCATACTGACATTGCATCTCATGCGCTCAGAAATAATAGAGGGAGTGATGAGCTTGTAGCTGGGCACTTCCTTCTTAAGCTTCTCGTACAAGTTCTTGTCAAAGAACACTGCAGCGTTCAACTTTTCTTTTTGCTTTCCCTTAGACCATTTCTTCTTCTTGGCCTTTCCTCCTCCTGCGTCCTTCTTGGAACTCTGAGCCTTGGACGAGGCCGCATCGGCCTTGCCCTTGCCCTGCGGCTGCTTAGGCGGCTGCGACCTCAAGTCAGGATTCTGATAACATGTTGCCAAAAGCAGGACAACGTCGTTCGAAATCACACCAGTCACAGGGAAAATCGGCACAAACACAGAGCCATTCAGCGAACAAAACCCAACATCGCAAGTCACTGTTCACTGTCAAAACTGCTTCTTGATCATGGCTTGTGTTTGTTCTGATAGACACAACTTTGACAATGTGCCATAAAAACAGAAGCGAGAACACCAAGGAAAAAAGGGAACACTCATCACCAATACAACCAATTTATGACGCTGCAATGAGTTGTTGTTGCGTTCTAGATTGAAATCTGATACAATCGTGGAAATATGCGCAAAAATAATCTTGACATGGAAATATGAGAGATATTTTCAAAAGCATAATATCTCACTCACATGAAAGTCAAAGGTGATCACGAGCAACCCCAACCACAATCTAGGCAATAGCAATAGAGCAGACAACCTCAACCCAACATCTCTCCAGTCGCTCACCACAAAATCAAGACACATCTTGTTCAAACCCACACCTTTCCATCATCTCCATCATCACTATCATCTCCATTATCCCCATCACACTGTTCGCACACTGCATCGCCGCCATGCTTTGACCTCCTCGCTCGCGCTCACTCACCATGGGCTCTGTGCTGATCTCGCACGCGCAGCAGAGCCTTTAAAAAAAAAAAGAGGATAACGGACCATCACCCCACCCGTCAAAGTCTCACTACCCCTCTTGCTGTCCTGCTCGATTTCTTCTCCCTTACCTATACTTCAACGATATCTCGAGTCCATCAGGTAAGATAAATCATAGGGTACTACTCCTGCAGCAATACTGGGTTCAAGTCGCCGGTGATGATACCCCACCCCTTCCAAATGAAAGCTGAAGCTGACCGTTACAGCAGGAAAAAAATGCTGCACGAGCGGACCCGCCTCACTGCAAGGACTAACAAGCTGGTTGACGTTGAGTAAAAAGATTCGGTGCGGCCAGATCGGACTGAGGGCCTGGCAGTTCCCGGGCCCGGGGCCCGGGGGGTCACGGTACACTGAAAAACTGGAGGCTTGAGAACTTCGGAACTGACAGTGAGGCGAGTCTACAAATCAGAGTCACGAGTCTGACGGTTCCACTGGGCCAGTCACTGCGGCGCCTAGGCCGTGCAGTGGGCCCGGCCCGGGCCGCCAGGCCGGCTCGGAGGCTCCGACTGTCAGTAACTGAAAGTCAGGGGCCGACGGAGACGGTGATGATCTTGTTGTTGAACGATTCACTGGTCATTTGATAATAAACTTCAATCTACTTCACCTCTTGTATCATCTACATCTTGATCTTGGGCGATAGGAGGCGGACCCCAGCGAAGTCTCCTGCTTCAACGTATCCTGCGGCATGCCAGCCCGTCAGTACCGTTACTAGAGTCCCGGTCCGGTGAACGCATTGCCGAGTGGCACTGACAAAGGGAAAGGAAGGGCCCGGGGAGAGGGGTTGGAGGGAGGAATGAGGTCAGAGCATAGAAGTCTTCTTGACCTGGCGGTCATAGGGCGGCCTCGATCTCGGCTCGCAGTTCCTTGATGCGAGGCAGAAGTTTTGGGCGGAAGAAGCCGACTTCATGCTCCAGCTTGTCGAGCTGCTCGATCAAGTTGCCCTTGGGCTTCAGATGCTCCTCATCTAACATACATCAGAGAAGCACCGACATGTTCCAGATATGAAGAGGAGGAGGAGGAGGAGATGGGGATTGGGGTGGTAACGTGTAGGAACGAGGGGAGGGGCCCGGGGAGGGAGGGAAGCAGGACGCGGGGAAGGAATTCCCACCAGCGAAGGATCGGAACGTCCTCATCTGTCGCTGGCTCCTCCTGTTGGCCTCCACCAGCTTGGTGAGCTCGGAGCGGAGAGGTTTCATCTCGTCCTGCTCAGCAGCGTCAGGAGGCTGCCGGTGAGCCCAGGGGAAGGGAAGGAGAAGGGGGGGGGGGGGGGGGGGCGGCAGACCTTGAGGAGCTGCTCCTTCCTGTTTGCCTCGCCGAGGGCGAACTGCAGGTCGATGGCCTTCTTGTGTGCCTCCTCCACCCGCTCCTTCTCTCTCTGGAGTTCATCCTCCTTGGTGTTGAGGGCCTGGAACAATGAGAGGTCAACCAGGTGCACGAGAAGAAATGGAGGAGGAGGAGGAGGAGGAGCAGCAGCAGCAGGTGGTGGTGGTCATCAGGTTGGGGGGGAGGGGGAGGGAGCGGCAGGAGCAGAAGGGAAGGGAGAGGAGGAAGGGAAACCTGCTGCAGATGCGATGCCTTGCGAACCATGTCCTGGAGGAACTTCTTCTGCGACAAGAAAGTCCTCCTCTCCCTCCGCAGGCTCTCGTTCTCCTTGGAAACTTTCTCAAACTCCTTCTGCAGCCTGCTCGAAGAAATCAGAGCCTCCCTCCTACCTGCCCCTTCCCCGCCTCCCTCTCTTCCCCTCTCCCTCCTTTTCTTTCCCTCTCCCTCTTTCTCTTTCCCTCTCCCTCCTTCTCTTCCCCTCCCCCTCCTGCTCTCCTCCTGACCTCGTGAGGTTCTTGCGAGTGAAGTCGCGCATGTCTCGAGCTCGATCTCCCGCCTGCAAGCTGGAGGCTTCCTGGGCCGCCAGATCTGATGCCATCTGTTGCTGCCTTGCCTGGAAAGGGCCGAGAGTGAAGATGCGGAGGTGAGGGAGAGGATGGAGACAGACAAGGACAGCGGGGTACTGAGGACATGCAAGGTGAGGGAGGGAGAGCTTGCCATGAGGAGAGGAAGGGAGAGTTTGCCATGAGGAGAGGACAGGAGCAGAGCTGGGGATGGCACAGCAGGAAGGGGGAGGAGCCAGAGAGACCTGGGAGAGGGCATGGCTCAGTCGGGAGATCTCAGCCTCGTACTCGCTGAAAACTTCTTCCTGCCCGCCCTCGCTCATGGCGAGCCTGAGCCTTCGCTTCAGCTCCATGACCTCTTGCCTCAGCTCCACGAGCTTGATCTGCCAGCATGCCAGTCAGCGAGCGGACGGCATGACGCATCCCCCTACCTCCTGTCGGGTGATGAACTCCTCCCTATCTCGGACCTCCTGCTCGTCGTCGAGGGACGAGAAGTTCGCCTGCTTCGCGATCCTCTGCACGATCTCTGCGTACTGGTGGTCGATGTCCTCCCGCTGCATGTTGTCCCTCACGTCCTGATGCTGGTGCCGCCCTGCCTCCTCCCTGTCATGGAAGACCCATCCTCCCTCCTCCTCCTCCTCCTCCTCCCCCTCCATCTGGATGGGGGAGTAACTGCGCGCTCCATCCTCCTGGAAGTCCATGCTCCTCATTCTGTCCAGCACATGGTGGAACTCGTTCCTGAGGTCGTCTGGAGACTTCTCCAATTCATCCACCTCCTCGTCAAAATCCTCCTCCTCGATCTCGTACGCCTCGTCATCGTCCCTCGCGTACTTTTCTCCTGGCCCCTTCCTCGCCTCCTCCTCGTGCCTCATCCCATGTGCCTGGTTGTGTTGAGCTGGGCTCCTACGCTGGCTCTGCTTCTTCCACCCGTCGCTGGCTCGCGCATCCTCTTCCTCGTGTCCTGCATGTCTCCTCCGGATGCTCTCGTCGATGGACGAGATCTCCCTGTACGCCTCCTGCCAGGCCTTGTCATCGGGCCCTCCCTCCTTCCTCCGCTGCGGAACTTGGCGGTGATCGAACCTCACTCGTGCCTTGTGCTCACCCATCCTCCTCCTCAGATCCTCCTCCTGTTTCCTCTCCTCCTGTTTCCTCTCCTCCTGTTCCTCTCCTCCATGCTCCTCCTCTCCTCTACGCTCCTCCTCTCTTCCGGCATCGCCTTCCTCCTGTCTGACGAGCTGAGCTCAAGTCTTGCATGGTAGACTTCATCTTCAAGCTCCGCCACCTTCTGATGCATCGATCCTCCAACAGGCTGCTTTCTACTCCCTCCCCTCCCCACGTGATGCCCCCTGGTCCCCCCGAGAGCAGCTCCAAGAATCTCCGAGGAGGGGAGGGAGGAGAAGTCGCCAGCGTCAATGTTGAGGATGCGATGGCACGCGTTGCTGATGCAGAGAGCACGATGGCAGCACCGCAGCGAGTTGAGCGTGTCGAGCTGATCCTCAGCATCGGGCGAGATGGTACAGAGGATGATCGTCTGGTTGTTCCCTGCGAGGAGGGGAGACATCGCCTGCGTCAGCCTCGAGTCTCTGGAAGAGGAGACCCACGAGTCGCTTCCTACAGTGCTGATGGAGCATCCGCTCCTCTCGTGCTTCGACGAGATCTCAGCTGCTCTAGTCGTCAGGACACAGGATGCAGTGACAGTGGAGGCAGGTGGGGGGAGAGAAGAAGGGAGGAGCAAGAGGGACAGGAAGAAAGGAAAGGGGAGGGAGGGAGGGATTAGGGAGGGAGGGGATGGGGAGAGCGGAGGGAATGGCAGGAGGAGGCACCAGACTCTGACCTAGCAGGCGATTGAAAGAAATGAGCTGTTGACTCATCATTCTCCTTTCTCGGTCGTAGACTTGCTTCTTGTTGAAAGCCACTTCTGCACGGGCGATCAGTCAGTCAGATAAACGCAGTGACAAGACGACTGAAGGGAAGAATGAAGGAATCAGGGAGAGCGGGGGTGGTGGGTTGGAACGAGACGGGCTTTCCCAGTCAGGCAGATTGGTAGTCTTGATCCAAACCTACCAGCTGTTCGAGCTCCATTCAGCGGGACATAACCAACGAGGTCGATCAGGTGCAGGGAGCTTATCCTTCGCTTCCTCTTGTCATAGAGGGTGATCCTCATGAAGGAATGGCATCTGTTCGATGTCGGCACGAACATGGTCTTCTCATCATCCTCAATCCAGTTCGAGCTGCGGGAATGACCGTACTCCAGCACTTGCATGGCATCGGAGAGGGACTCAACCTCGACACAAGTGAACGACTTGTCTCCTGCTCCTCCTCCCCGATCATCCTGCTGCTTCTGAGGAGCAAGCAGATCGTTCGCATCGCTGACACCGACCTCCCACAAAGACAACATCACTATGAAGTCGTTGGGCTCGTGGCTCTGCCTGATCCTCTCGAAGAGAGTCTTGAGAGTGAGGAGGGAGAGGTTCTCGTCCTCATCCCCGTACAAGCTGTAGGTCTTCCCCGTCCCTGTCTGCCCCACAGCAACAACGGATGCGTTGAAACCGTCCCATAAGGAGTTGAGAGCGACGAGAGCAGTGGCTTGGAAGCACTCCTTCTGGCTGGAGTTGGCAGGTAGCGCTGCTGTCATCTTGTACGTGCGGCATGTCGTCCCGTCTCCCTCCTTCCCCTTCCCCTCCAGCACCCTCACCTCGCTCCCTTCTGTCTGCACTGCCCTCCTCCCCCCTCTCCCTGGCCGGACGCGCACAACAACCTTGAGGGGGCAGATCCTGGTGTCGCCTCCTCCCATCTTCTCGAGCTCCTCGCTCATATCCAGCAGGTGCATCGTAAGAGCCTTGTACTCCTTCTCCTTGTCACTGACAGCCTCCCCTGAGGTCCTAGCAACCATTTCGCAGAGATGATTCTAGGACAAGGATGCCGCGTGCATGGCAAGGATCATCTGAGAGACTGCAAAAACGGAAAAAAATCAGATTGTGAGCAGAAACAACATCTCCAACTTCGTTTCCCTTCGTCTGAGAGTGAATTTGCTTTGCTTTTTCCTATTCATTGCACTAGTTCTCACTTCTGTGCCAGCCCATGTGGTGATATATCCCATGCTAGTTTTCTGTCATACTATTCAAAATCACTTTCTTTACTTCATCACTCCTTAACATGTTCTGCTGTCCTGCATCGCAACATTTTTCTGCATCAACCTTCTCCGAGTCGCGATATTTCAAAAATCTGGACATGCTAGCAGCCTCTGGAATCTACAAGGCTCTTGCCTGTATGTTTCATGTCCTCTCTACTTTCCTGTCCTCTTTGTGTCCATCCTCCTCGCTCTCCTCCTCCTCTCTCTCTCCTCCTCCTTGCGCTACCCATCCCCGGCTTCCTCCATTTTCAAACGTTCGATCTGCTCTAATATACAGAAATATACAAAATTATATATAATTTATCAATGTTTATACGATATCAACCCGAAATATCATAATTTATGAAATGCTGTGTATGAGGGGGTAGATGGAAGGGATTCAGGAGGGTAGGGGTGGTTGTGGCTCCGCCCGACAATGAGGGAGAGCGACCCGCTGCTAGACAGCGGAAAGGGAGGGAGGGTGGGGGAGGAGGAGGAGGAGGAGGGAGCGATGGTGGATGGAGGGATTAGGAGGAAGAGGCGAGGACAAAGTCGACGCATGCTCCTGTGTCTCTCTTGTCTCTTCCTGGTTGGGATCGCTGTTCTGATCCCTACCTTGGGATGGTCGGGGTGGAATCCTCTGGGGTGGAGGAGAGGCCAGAAGTTGGCGGGGAAGGAGATGACAGGCCAGGAGGATCGATCGAAACTCATGGATACAAGCACATCTCCATGTGAGGACTTCTACCAGTATGCTTGTGGAGGTTTCCTGAAGAAAGAGCTTCCAAGCGATCACGATCAATGGTACTACACCTTCGATGGCGTCAAGGAACGAGACGCGCAGATGATGCGCTCTCTGATGATGGGACATGGAGGAGGCGATGCCGGGAAGCTCTTCCGATCATGTCTGGATACTGAGTCCATCGATGCTCAGGGGATCCGGCCAGTCCTGCCATATCTTACGAGGGTTGACGCAGCCCTGGCCCAGCAGGGCGATCGACCGTTGGTGGAGGTGGTTGCCATGATTCACCGGCTGAACTCGAAAGCTTTCTTCTTCTGGGACGTTGGGGCAGACGTGGACTCGCTGAAGAGGGTGATGTACATGCAGCAGGGGGGCTGACGCTCGCCGACCACAACTTCTACCTACTCGAGTGGAACGCGGGCAAGCGATCGGCTCTGAGGACCTTCGCTCGTCAGGTGTTCCTGCTCCTCGGCTACTCGCAGCAAGAGAGCAGCGAGGCAGCAGCGAGCATCCTGGACGTTGAGACCGAGCTGGCAAGGATGTTCTTGTCGCACGCTGACGAGCGAACAGCAAACTCTCTCCCCCCACTCTCCTTCAAGCAGGTGGTGAAGGGCATGCAAGTGAAGCATGGGCTCGATTGGTCCCTCTTCTTCGAACTGCTCGGGGTCGACAAGCATCTGCTGCAGTCAGACGACAAGGTAAGAAGGAGACTCTAGCGGGAACGGGTGGTGTTGACCAGCCGGCAGATGGTGAGGGTAGTGGATGTTCCTTTCTTTCAACGGCTGTGCGGGCTGATAGGACGGAAAGACAAGACTTACTGGCGGTGGTACCTTAAGTGGAAGCTGCTAGACAACCTCGTCGGGCATCTCGGACATCCGTTTCAGGTGTGGGCAAGAAACTTTCGCACAGAAGACGAGGAGGAGGAGCGAGGGAGTGGCGGGAGGGAAGGAGTGGAAGGGGAGGGAGAAGTGAAGGAAACAGGAAGAGGGGGGAACGGAGGGAAATGATAGAATGGGAGGGGGGGAAGCGGGGGAAGCCCCCGGGGGGGGGGAGTAGAGCACAGGGAGGAGGTAGGGAGCAGGAGGGGAGGAAGGAGTGGTTTGCCTGCTTGGATTTAGTCCTGGCTCAGGTTGCAGACCTTGAGTTTCGGAAGCGATTGTATGGCGTCAAAGCTGATCCACCGAGGTGGCGCATTTGCCTCCATACCTTGAACTTGTTCGTGCCGGACGTCATCGGGCAAACTTACCAGCAGCATGCTGGTCGTGATGACGTGGCAGCGAGAGCGGAGAGGATGATCGGCAAGCTGAAGCAGGAGTTCGCAAAGGTAGCAATGGACAGCTGCTTGGAAGTTGATGCCTCCCATCACCGCAACCACTCCCATCCCCCATTCCTTCTGCCCCTCCTCCTCCTCCTCCTCCTCCTCTCCTTCACCCCACTTCGATCTTGCTCTCTTCGGTTCAATCCCCCTCGCTCGCTCTCCTCCCCTTCAACCTCTCAACTGCTTCACCGCTGTTTTCTTCAGGGCCTCGGTGTGCTTTCCTTGTTGACCCCCTGGCGGTGGTTTCACAGGTCATCCGACGATCCTCGTGGATGTCGGAGAGCAGCAAGCGAGTCGCTCTGGTCAAGTTGGCGGACATGGACGTGGAGGTGAGAAAAAAGAATCGAAACCTCGATCAGCATCAGCATCAGCATCAGCATCAGCATCAGCATCAGCATACCTCCCCTTCCTTTCCTTTCCCTTGCCTCTCTCTCTCCTCCCTCCCTCTCTCCCTCCTCGCTACTTCCCTCTACCCTCCCTCCCTGCCTCCCTCCTCTCCTCCTCAGGACATCTGCAGGTAGGAGGACCTCGGAACGTTGAACCCCTTGGCTTCGTCGTACATCATCAGAGGTGGTTTCAGAACTCTGTCAACATAGCCAAGAAAGTCGTCACCGACCAGGTGCGGTCAGCCCCGAAGGCGCGTTGACCCTCTCCCGCTCTGAGACGCGTCCTCGTCCTGACAGATCACGAAGCTCGCTACTGTCAAGGGGAGGAGAGACTGGGGGACTGGTGAGACGTGGAGGCAGTGATTGGAGAGCACTCTGCTTTTCTCTCATTCTCAACCTCCTCTCCTCGCCTCTTCTCGCCTCTCCTCTCCTCCCCTCCCCTCCCCTTTCCTCTCCTCTCCTCTCCTCTCCTCTCCTCTCTTCCTCTCCTCTCCTCTCCTCTCCTCTCCTCTCCTCTCCTCTCCTCTCCTCTCCTCTCCTCTCCTCTCCTCCTCTTCTCACCTGTTCACTAACCTCCTGTTCTCAGACCTCGGCCCGATGTCCGTCAACGCCTTCTACAACATCCACACCAACTCGCTCTTCGTCCCCTCTGCCCTCCTTCAGGTCAGCCCTTGCGAACTCTCTCCCTTCTCAACTCCCTCCCGCCAGTTTCCCTTCATCGCTGCTGGGGGACACGCGAGTTCTCCCTTCTCTCCCTACGATTTGGGATCCCTTGGTGAGACGGAGGACGAGGACGAGAAAGTGAAAGAGAAAGAAAGAGGAGCAGGGGGGATGGCAAATGAGGAGGAAGGGAGGAGGGGCTGGACATGGAAACAAGAGGAAATTAGGCCAGGGGAGGACGAGGACGAGGACGAGGACGAGGGAGGAGGACGAGGACGAGGACGAGGGAGGAGGACGAGGACGAGGACGAGGACGAGGACGAGGACGAGGACAAGGACGAGGACGAGGGAGGAGGACGAGGACGAGGACGAGGGAGGAGGACGAGGACGAGGACGAGGACGAGGGAAGAGGACGAGGAGGGCGAGGAGGGCGAGAGAGGACGTGTTAGGTCAGTGAGCGATGGTGCAGGGGGTCTTGTGGGGCATGAAATGTCCCACGGGTTCGACAACGTCGGGAGACTTTTCGGCCCCAACTTCGAGCTGAGAAGCTGGTGGGAAACAGCTGGGGGCTGATGATGTCACGTGGTGAAATCTGACGTCGATGGGGCGAACAGGTGGGACAACTCGACGATCAGGAGCTACAAGAAGAGAGCAGATTGCATAGGGAGATACTATCACACGTACACGAGTGCTGGAAGGTTGGTTTTCTGCGCTGATGATATAAAGATGATGATGATGGGGATGGAGATGATGATGATGATGATGTAATGATGATGGTGATGATGTGACGATGAGGAGGAGGAGGAGGAGGACGAGGACGAGGAAGAGGATGCTCGGATCTCGTTTAATCCTTACAAGTCACTCTCTTCTCCTCCTCTCTGTCACCTGCTGCAAATCTGACCCATCATGGTCCTTCAGGCATGTCCACAGCAACCAGACACTGGAAGAGGACATCGCTGATCGGTATCCTCCTCCTCCAAACACCACCTCCTTCCTCCTCTTACCACCTCCCAGGCTACCTGCTCCTGCCTCCTCCTGCCTCCTCCTTCACCTCGTCCTTCTCTTCCTCCTCTTCCTGACGCGCTACTTAATGCTGCTGTGTCTTCTGACCGATCTGCTGCGCAGAGGAGGGTTGCATCTTGCTTACTTGGCCATGAGAGCCGCTCTCCCTGCAGGCAGGCATGTTGAGGTGCGGCAGCATCACAGGAGGATAAGGCGGGAGAGGAGGAAGAGGGAAAGCCGAAGGAAGAGGAGGGAAGAGGAGGAGCAGGAGCAGGGGCAGGAGGAGGAGGAGGAGGAGGAGGAGGAGGAGGAGGAGGAGGAGGAGGAGGAGGAGGAGAGACGTGACGAGGGAAGCGATGAGCCTGAGCCCTTAAAGACATTCTTTAGCTTCATGGATCACAAACCTTTCTCTTAACTTATTTCATA